TCCGTCTTGTCACACGTCAGGAAGAACTGGGAGCCGTTGGTGTTCGGGCCGGAGTTGGCCATGGAGAGCAGGCCTGGGGGGGGGAACGAGCAGTCAGTCCCTCCACCCGGCCCCCTCAGCCAGGCCCACGCTGGGACGGACAGACCATGCGATGTCTTTCTTCCCCTCAACTGACGGCAGTGCAACGGTGAGCAGGGTTTCAATCACTTTATACGGATTTAACCCTCCATTCACTCAACAAACACTTCCTGTCTACTTTGTAACCAGACCTGTGCTGAGCCTGGGGGCATGGTCCCAGCTCCGGGGGAGCTCAGTCTAGTGGAAAAGAATCACTGAGGCCTTGGCTGGTTTGGCTCAGTGGATAGAGCGTCAGCCTGTGGACTGAAGGGTCCCAGGTTTGATTCTGATCAAGGGCACATGCCTGGGTTGCTGGCTCAATCCCCAGTAGGGGGCATACAGGAGGCAGCCAATCAATGATTCTCTCTCATCATTAATGTTTCTATCTCTCCCTCTCCTTTCCTCTCTAAAATCAATTTAAAAAAATTTTTAAAAGATCTTTACAAATTAAAAAATATTCTTCTGTAAAAAAAAAAAAAGTCACTGAGAAGAGAACTGTGCCGACAGCCATGACAGAGTGAGGCCAGGGACACAGACACCTGTGCAGGGACCGGACGCAGAGGCAGCCACATAGGGACCGTGTGTGTGTGCATGTGCACGTGTGTGTGACGTATGCTGGTGCACTGTCATGGAAAGGCTCCCTGGAGGAGGGGCCATCTGAGTGTGTCTAAGAGGCCCAGGTTGGTGGGCTGAGGGCGTTGCGGCACGAGGCGCTGCAGCTGGTGCGTGGTGGTGAGAAAAGCCGCTCTGCCCGCTGGGCCTCGGCACGGTGCCCCTGTGGATGGACCATGTCCCACCCCACTCTCAATGCAGAGCAGGGTGTCGCACACCTAACAGACCAGCCTGCGAATGTTTTAAATATTCAAGTACTTATTGTGTGTTTTCTATGTATCAGCCACTGTTCCAGACACTGTGGTGAAAAGAAAGCCCACATCCTACCTAATGAGACTGCATTCTCAGAAGGGAGACAGAAAACAAACAAGTAGAAACATAAATGTATAATTTCAGGCAGTAAGTGTGTGATGAAAGGTGAAGCTGACTCCACAGGGCGAGATGGTAGGGAAGTCCATAGAGAGGCAGGTCAGGGACCAGGTGACACGTGTGACACCTGAAGGAAGTGAGGGGCGCACCCTGGAAACTGGAGGAGGAACACACTTGTGGACCCTGAGGGGTGAGCTGTGGGGGCAAGTGCGGTGGGGACGCAGAGGCGGAGTAGCAGGGCGGTGAGGTGAGCGGGGAGGCGCCAGGTCCAGTTCGGTTGGCCCTGCTGGATGGATCCTTTGGGCGATGCGGCCGGGAGGGCTGTCAGCAGAATGACGTGACTGGGTTTCTATTCAGAAGGGCCCCCTGACTACCTCTCGATATTAGACCACCAGAGGCAAGAGCAGCCTGGAGGCAAGCTCCGAAGGCCGTGGTGGTGGAGGAGGTGAAGGGCGGCTGGACCAGGTGACGGAGAGGAGGGTCAAGGATGAGTCCTAAGTTGCTGACTCACCAGCCGGGTATGTGGTGGTGGCACTGACTGAAACAGGAAGAGCGAGAGGAAGAGTTTGGCGAGAAGAGCAAGAACTGCTGGGGGTGATCAGCCTGGACTGAAATATGGGGGTAACTTTCAGAGAAGATGGAAAGCCCCGGGGATGGGACTGTCTAGGACAGGGGTTCGAAATAGGGAAACACTGTCCCCTGGAGGCTACTTGGAAACCGCAAGGTATGTTTTTGGTCAGTAATAGTGGGGGGGGGGGAACAAGGGCATTAGAGGGAAGTGAGCCGATGCCCTGCGAAAAATGATGGTGTTGGGGAGCAGAAGACTGTCATGTTTTAAATTAAACTCCTCGAATGATTTTCTTTAAACTATGTGCAATTATGACTGTAATATCTTTTAAAAGGCTACACTGAAACAAAAGGATTATGTGTAAAAAGGATCATTATGAACATTTAAGAAAATCTAACACACAACTGTGAATAGTAGTAGTTACCTCTGGGAAATGGCTGCAGATAGTGAGGGAAAATTTTTTTAGCTTTTAATTTACAACCTTAAAAATAGTAACTTTCACTGGAAAAACCTGGCAGAGATCTCCTTAACCTACTGATCAAAGCTAACATCACAAATATTGGAACTGACGCCATATACTTCCTTATAAGATGCACTAACAAGGAAAACAGCGTGCTCCTGGGGCATTCCTGCCAAAATACATCATCTAAATCTGACCCTGAGGCAGGACCAGCGACAAACTGAGAAAGGACCTTAAACAATGGCCTGTCCTCTTCAAAGATGTCACCATCACGAAAGACAATGAAAACAGAGACTACAAGACTCACCACTGAGTGCAATGTGCAAATTTTTGTTGGGAAGAAAAACGGCTAACATTACTATCAAGGAAAATATTGGGATAAGTGATGAAATTTGAATATGGGCTGAAGATTAGTTAATAGGGTTGTATTGATAGTATATTTCCTGATTTTGATAGTTGTACTGTGATTAGTAAGGGAATATTCTTGTTTTCAGGAAAGACATACTAAATTATTTAGGAGTCAAAGGACATGTCTTCAACTTCCTCTCAACTGGCACGGGGGAGGAGGGGGGAGGTAAACATTTGTATATAATAAAATGATAAAGTATAGGGGCAAAAAGCAAATTAATGAATGGAAAAAGGACATATGAGTGTTCCTTGTACTATTCTTACAGAATTCTTATTTTATATGTGTATGTATATAATTTTTAAAAACACACAATAAAACTAAACCAGATGGCAATTAAAATATTTTATAGCTTTTGACTGCTTGTTCTTTCTAATGGTCCTAAGCCTTTACAGAGCTTCAAAATACCTGCCCTGTCTTATTTGTTTCCAGCTGCTGGGACCTAAGATGTCTCACGCGCACTCGGGTAGAAATCGTGCCCAGGGTGCAGATTCCTGCAGCTTCCTCCTCAGCTTGCTCAGCCGGCAGCTTCCGCCGGAGCCTGCTCACCTGTTGTCATGGAAACAACGTCTGAGCGCAAGAGTGTCTGGATGCGGCTGGTTGGCTTGCTCCCAGTCTTGATGTCCATGGACACCTGAGGGTTTGACAAGGCCTCTTTGGCAGGGCCTCTCCCTGGGTAAAGAAATCGCTAGGTTAGAGAGAACTCCCTGACTCCCAGAGCAGGACAGCGAGTAGTCTTCTGAATACACACCCAGAACCCAAGTGCAGGGAGCAGGCTGGAGTGAGGTGCCGACAGGGGAGGCCTGGGCCCCACTGCGGCTGCAGAAGGCAGAGGCCATGGCCATAGCACCACGCTGGATCAGCAATAGGAGACTGCAGCACTAATTCCAGCCCACCCTGCAGGCAACGTACTCACCACACTCGACCTGACCAGACACGTAGGCTTGCTTCACCCTCCCTCCAGTCACGTATAACACTGTTCTGGCCCAACACAACTCTCAACACTTCACACCCCAGCTCAAGCCCACTCACCTCACTCCAGTCAAAGAGACGCTAACCTCTCCCTCTTGCCTAACCCTACATATTCACAGGTTGGCTGCACTGGGACCAAGGAGGGCAGCCCCCTTCCTGTGCCTCAGTGCTCAAAGACAAGGAAGGAGGTTGGGCCTTGCTTTATGCTCCAAGCAGACCAGGCTGACTAGATAAATAAAACATTCATTACAAACTCTCCCTTTGTTTGATATAGAAAACTCTATTGTCTTTGACCGCCTTGTAGTGTAGCTAGGTCAACATACAGGCATTGAGCCCGGCCTGTGTGGCTCAGTGGTTGAGCATCAACCCATGAACCAGGAGGTCATGGTTTGATTCCCGATTAGGGCATATGCCTGGGTTGCAGGCGTGATCTCCCGTGGGGGGCATGCAGGAGGCAGCTGGTGATTGATTCTCTCTCATCACTGATGTTTCTATCTCTTTCTCCCTTCCTCTCTGAAATCAGTAAAAATATATTGAAAAAGAAAAAACAATACAACAAAACATAGGGGTACTGAACTATCAGGCCAAGCACTGGGGGTAAGTCTGATAAGGTTCTGCCCTTGAAGAATTGGCTATGCAATGGGGAAGGGATGTCCACAACTGAGGACAGTGTGGACACACATCCCACACTGATACAGCCTGGCTTCAAATCTCAGATCCACCACTTACAGGCTGTGTAATGTTCAACAAGTTATTTGACCTCACTGGGCCCGTTTTGTCACCTAGAATTGGGGATAATAATAGTATTTATCTCAAAGGATTATCAATAGGATTAAATATTTGTAAAGCAGTTAGAACATAGAGTAAACAGTAAGTAATGCCAAAACAAAGCAGTAAATGCTTGGAGAGAGGGTTCTACGGAAGCCCAGAAGGGACACTATCTAACTCAACTGGAGGACTAGGAAAGTTTTCTGGAGAAGGCAGCAACTGAGCTCAGTTCTGACAGGGAGTAGGAGTTAACCAGATCAAATAAGTTGGAAAGGGCATCTTAGGCAAAGGAACTGCTTATGCAAAAACATAAGATTTATAGGAAACTACAAACTCTTGTTTCATAGAATAAAAACATGGCAGCCCTCCTATCCCAGACTCAATCCTGTCATGAGGGACCCTAGAACGCTGAGAGCGACATCATCAGATCTGTCCTCAGGCAGCTCCCCCTGCTGCTGAGGATAGGACACAGGCCTGGGGCACGGAGATCAGCTACTGTCATTACTCACAGGAGAGATGACAGAGGATAAGCCAAGAAAATGTGGCAGGAACAAACAGGAGGGGAGAGATTCCGGAAGACGTAAAAGATAAAATTAGCTGGCTACGGCAATGCATCAGATAAAAATCGTGAGGGGCTAAGATGACACCGAGGCTCCTGGTTTGGGCAACTATGCGGAAGACAGCAAAATTAACAAGGTCAGGCCCGGGAAGGCCAACCAGCGTGAAAGGAGAGGCTCTGGGAAAGCCTTTGTTTATGGTGATTGTGAGACGTGCAGGCAAAAATACGTGAAACTTGGGAGGGAGGTCAGGGTTAGGACGAGAGACCAGAACGTTGAATGGCTATGACCTCACGGGACAGAAGTGGCTGAAACTGTCCAAGGACAGTGTGGAGAGAGGAGCCGAGGGCTAAGGAAGGAACTCAGAGAAACACCACTGTCAAAGGGTGGAGAGGAGCCCCTGCATGATTCCGAGAAGCAAAGGTCAGGATGGTGTATGGACAGGCCGGAGAGCGGCGCCTGAGGGGAGGGGCCTCTGAAACCAGGGCAGGATTAGGAAGACAGTAGACACGCATGTGTGTAACTTCTGTCACAGGCAGAAGTTCCCTCTGAGGGACTCCCAGAGCAAGGAGAGTTGTCACTGGGAAACGTCAAGCCTTCAAGTCAGGTCTTAGCAGAGGCAGATGACAGTAAAGAGGGACTAAGCTGAGCCCTGGCCAGTGTGGCTCAGTTGGAGCATTGTCCTGTGCACCATAAAGGTTGCAGGCCCTGGCTGGTTTGGCTCAGTGGATAGAGCATCGGCCTGAGGACTGAAGGGTCCCGGGTTTGATTCTGGTCAAGGGCACATGCCCTGGTTGTGGGCTCAATACCCAGTAAGGGGCATAACAGGAGGCAGCCGATCAATGATTCTCTCTCATCATTGATATTTCTATCTCTCTCTCCCTCTACCTTCCTCTCTGAAATCAATAAAAACATTTTTTAAAAATCTGAAAAAATAAAAATAAGGTTGCAGGTTCGAGTCCCCACTCAGGGCAAATATGGGAGGCAACCAATCAATATTTCTCTCTCCCTTCCTCTCTCTAAAATTAATAAAAACAACAGCCGGGCCAATGTGGCTCAGTGGTTGAGTGTTGACCTATGAACCAGGAAGTCACAGTTAGATTCCTGGTTAGGACATATGCCTGGGTTGCAGGTTCGATCCTCAGTGTGGGGCCTGCAGGAGGCAGCCGGTCAATGATTCTCTCTCATCAACGATGTTTCTTTCACTTTCTCCCTCTCCCTTCCTCTCTGAAATCAATAAAAATATATTAAAAACAACCACCAAAAAACCACACAACATATCCTTGGGTGAGGATTAAAAAAAGAAATAAGATGGCCTAGCTGGTTTGGTTCAGTGGATAGAGTGTCAGCCTATGGACTGAAGGGTCCCGGATTCAATTCTGGTCAAGGGCACATGCCGGGTTACGAGCTCAACCCCCAGTAGGGGGCGTACAGGAGGCAGCCGATCAATGATTCTCATCACTGACGTTTCTCTCTCTCTCACCCTCTCCTTTACTCCCTGAAATCAATAAAAATATATTTTTTAAAAAAAGGGAGTAAGCAGAGCAAAAGTAAGTCCCACGCTTGTCAAGGCGGGAAGGGCACAGCTATGTCTGTGTCTGTGTCCAAAAGCAAGACTTTGATGGGGACAATGCCTCTGGCTTTGCTGAGAATCTCTGACTCTATTACTTCCCTGGAGGAGCCACATTCTCTCCCTACTACAAACCACTCCATTCATGCACACACTACCACCACAGCAGGAAATAAGACAGAGATGAAAATGCAAAGGGGCCAACGTTAGGGACATGATAGGGAATCTGTGGTTGGCCCACTCACCTGGTCTGGAAGAGCCTTCCTTAATCCCCATCACTGGTTTGGTCAAATTGACACCAATTGTTCTCCCAAAGAATTCAGATTCATTCTGAAAGGACGATAACACATCAGCTCCTTAAACCTCATTAGATTAAAAGAATACCTGGCAGCCTGCCATTTACTTCTAAGAAGTCTGAGACTTACGATTAATTCCAAACTAGGAGCCTGCACCCCCTCTCCCAACTACAAGCTAAGCACAAAACTAACCATAAAAAGTCCCCGAGACACCATACACTTCCTTTCTCCCAACAGGAAGGTCTGTGCTGACATGGTCTTCGGGTCTGAAATGATAAGGACGAATGCAGTTACCGAGTACTGAGTCCACCTTAAAAGTCAAGATCAGCACTGAACTGGAAAACACTGGGATTGCTGACTGTTGAGAGATACATTTCATGGAAGAGTAACAGAGAACACGGAGAGAAGTATGGAATATCCCATTGTTCAAGAATAAGTGAGATCAGGGCCCTCCGCCAAGATGGCAGCAGCCGAAGACGACGGGTTACTGCTCTGCTTCTGCCCAAGCTGTTGGCGATCAGCAAGAAGTTTCCGGACGAAGTGGAAGTAGCGGCTGAACCCAGCAGTTCCTGGGTAATCCAAGAGAAGGTGTTGAAAGGACTACACCTCCTTAAGAAGGCTGCCAAAATGTTACTGCAGCTCAACTTGTTCAGCCAACATGAAGATTTGGAAGAGATTGCTTGCACCGACCCGAAGTGCCAGCATTTCAGGGAGCGCTCGCCATGACACAAGCCAACCTGGCAGGCGCCTAGACAACTTGCAGTGGGCTCGAGAACACTTTTTAAACTACTTAACTCAGTGCCAACCCTATCATGTGGCAGAGTTTGAGTTGCCCAAAACCAAGAACAGCTCAACTGAAGGTACACTGCTAGCTGCTCAATGGCCCACCCTAATCTCATGGCGACGGCACCTCAGGGATGGGCTAAAACAGAGGCGCAAGCAGAGGAGGAGGAGGAGTGTGGGTTGTCTGCACTGAAATCTGCTGTGGAAAGTGGTGAAGCAGATGCTGGCGTGTTCACGAGTTGTACCTCCTTCACCTCGAAGGTGGACTGGTAGGAGCTTAGAGGAGACTGAGAGCATTGACCAGGAGATAAAGATCCTGAGAGAAAAAGACTCTTCAAAGAGGCATCGACTTCTTGCTCATCTCCTCAGGCCAGGCCTCCAATGGAACCCTTCATTCTCACTCGGAATGCACCCCAAGCCAAAATCTTTAGAGCTGGCTCTTCAAGTCTGGTGTCTATGAAGGTGGGAGAGTTAACAGATCAGGGAACAGCCAAGACAACATCAGAGGTCAGAAGAGCCGCTCAGTAACAGGAAGAGCAGGAAGGTGAGCAGATGCTCTGCCATGCCCAGGCCCGGAGTGGTCCCTGCTGGGGGTGTGGCAACCGACACAACCCTCCCCCTCCCCACAACACAGGCTACAGGGAGCGCGCATCTTCCCCAGGAGGAAAGCTGTGCAGTCGTCCCCTCCCTGGGCCACGAGCTTCGGCTCTTACCAAGAAGGCCAAGACGCTTAATCTTGCTTTGTGTTTAATAAAGTGTCAAGCAATTGAGTGTGTATTTTGTTTCCTAGCTGAGGAACCAGTGATTCTTGCTTTGGCATGATCCTTATCATGCTGTATTTCAATTCCTTAAGTGGAAAGAAGCGTATTGAGAAATGGCTCACTATAACCAATGGTGTAAGAATGCCCCTTAAAAAATAACAAAAGTCCCTTCTAATATAGGAGCCTGCAGAACAAACATAAGTGATACTAAGAAAAGGCAAGTAGAGAGATTTAAAAAGGGGGGGGGGGTTTGTTGCCCGGCCAGTGTGGCTCAGTGGTTGAGCATCGACCTATGAACCAGGAGGTCACAGTTCAATTCCCGGTCAGAGTATATGCCCAGGGGGTGGGCTCATACCCAGGAGGGGGTATGTAGGAGGTAGCAGATCAATGATTTTCTCTCATCATTGATGTTTCTATTTCTCTCTCACTCTCCCTTCCTCTCTGAAATCAATAAAAATATATTTTTTAAAAAGAGTTTATTTTGGACCCTTTCATAAAGATTAAAAAACATGAATTAAGATTCTTTAATAAGATTTAGGTTGCCCTTGTGCTTAGAAACAAAGATGAATAAAGTGCTATTTTTATTTCCAGCAACTTTAAAAAAATTGAATGACAGCACGAAATGACATCCTTATTTCACACTTAGTCATAAAGATTGATCCTAAAGATTTTTTTTTAATGGTCAAACATTTAAGGGTTTTGTGGTGGGCAAAATAATGCCCCTCAACGCGTTGTCCACATTCTATCCTTGAAACCTGAGAATATGCTTATTATATGACAAGAAGGAATTAAGGTTACCGATGGAATTAAGGTTACCAGCTGATAATAAAGAGTGACACACAGTGAGAAAGACTTGCCTGGCCCTTGCTGGTTTGAAGATGGAAGGGCCCACAGCGAAGGAATGTGGCCAATCAATAGAGGCTGGAAAAGGCAAAGAAACAGGTTCTCCCCTGGAGCCTCCAGAAGGAACACAGCCCTGCCGACACCTTGACTGTAACGTGGTGAGACCCATTTTGGACTTCCGATGTCTGGAACTATAAGGTAACACACTTGTATTGTGTAAACCACCCAAATTGTGGTGATTTGTTTGAATAGTAATAGGAATTCATTTCTTCTGAAGCACCCAACCTGTCATAATCCTGTAGGTATTCTATTCCTTGGTTGTTAATTGGGTTAACTTCACAAGAGGGTCACTTTTTAATGGCTCAAAAGAGCCTCATTTTCTGCCTTGGCTGGTTTGGCTCCATGGATAGAGTGTCAGCCTACAGACTGGTTTCAATTCTGGTCAAAGGCACATGCCCAGGTTGTGGGCTAAATCCCCAGTAGGGGGCGTGCAGGAGGCAGCCAATCAATGATTTTCTCTCATCCTTGACATTTCTAGCTCTTTCTCCCTCTCCCTTCCTCTCTGAAAGCAATAAAAATATATATTTTTAAAAAAGAGCCTCACCTTTTAAAAAAATATATTTTGTTGATATTTTACAGAGGAAGAGAGGATAGTTAGAAACATTGATCAGCTGCCTCCTGCATACCTCCTACTGGGGATGTGCCCGCAACCAAGGTACATGCCCTTGACCAGAATCGAACCTGGGACCTTTCAGTCTGCAGGCCATCGCTCTATCCACTGAGACAAACCAGTTAGGCCAGTGGTCGGCAAACTCATTAGTCAACAGAGCCAAATATCAACAGTTCAACGATTGAAATTTCTTTTGAGAGCCAAATTTTTTAAACTTAAACTATATAGGTAGGTACATTGTTATTAACTTAATTAGGGTACTCCTAAGCTGGCCTTTGCTAAAAACGTCCTCGAGGTACGTTCGCTGAGGTTGACCCCTTCCAACTCTCCCATCCACACTCGTCTTGCATACAGAGTGTGGATGGGAGAGTTGGAAGGAGTCGACCTCAGCGAACATACCTCAAAACAATGTACCTCCCTCCTCGCTGCGTATCCAGCGGCTGCCTGCACCACATCTCCCATCACCCGACCGACCGACCGACCAACACCCACTTCTTCAAAATAGACTCGCCCAGGCCGAAAACCGACTTCTGTGCATGGGCCACGAAGTTTCAATCACACTGTACATGCACGCCCGCACGTGATATTTTGTGGAAGAGCCACACTCAAGGGGCCAAAGAGCCGCATGTGGCTCACGAGCCACGGTTTGCCTACCACTGGGTTAGGGCAAGTCTCACTTTTTAAACTAGAGCCCAAAACAGCAGTTTTCCATAACACTTTTAGATATTTCATGAAATCCTGCCTCTTATGCAAGATTCATAATTTTAACTTGCAATCAATTTATACTCTATTGCCCTAGAGCAGTGACTTTCAACCTTTTTATCTCATGGCACATATAAACTATTACTAAAATTCTGCTACACACCAAGAAAAAAAATTTTTGTTGATCTGACAAAAATTGTTTTATTCATTCACACAGGACGGCTATTGTATTGGCTGCTGTCATTCTTTGACAATCTAAGGCAGTGGTTCTCAACCTTGGCTGCACATTAGAATCACCTGGGAATCGTTTTAAAATCCTGATTTCTGGGCCTCATCCTCTGGAAATTCTGTTTGTTACTAATGTTGTGGCCCCACCCCATAACAAAGAAACAGAATTTCCAGAGGATGAGGCCCAGAAATCAGGATTTTAAAAAGATTCCCAGGTGATTCTAATGTGCAGCCAACGTTGAGAACCACTGCTCTAAGGGAAATTGGGTCAGCACCCCTGACTAAATAGTCAGGTACTGCATGTTTTAAAAATCCTTGCAGCACACCAGTTGAAAATCACTGCCCTAGACTAAAGGTTAACAAACTTTCTGAAAAGGGTTAGAGATTAAATATTTTAAGCTTTGCAGGCCACATAGTCTCTGCTACATATCCCGCCCACCCTACCCCCTGCCCCCCCCCACTCACACACACACACTCTTTTATTTTATTTTTATTTTATTTTTTTGCACGTGTGATTTCTTTAATACACATTGCTACCAACAAATATGTAAAGATATGGCAGATTATGCATTTGATCAAAGCACTTTAAGCATAAAACAGATTCAAATGATATAAGTTCCATGCATAAAGTCCAAGAAGTTGCCTATGAATTTGTAGGCAACCCTCTCTAATCAGAATCCTTTATTCTTCAGTTGCAGATGAAATAGGGCACAATCTGTTGTAAACCAGGATAATATTCTTGAATTAAGAATGTTCTCATTAAATTGAAAAGAATTTCCCAAGTGTCTTTCAGCAATGTACAGTAGGTCCTCAGGTGACGTCGGAAATCCATTCCTATGGCCCAATGTAACACAATTTTTCGCCATAAGTCTGAACCCACTTACATAAGCACCTACATCACTCACATGGAGCACATACACAGCAGTAATAAAATGAAACAGTAAAAAAATTTTAAAAATAACAATTCCTGACCTTTACTTGTGGTAAATAAATAATAAAAAACAAAGCACATATGTACATATGTCGAAATGACAGAACTTTTTTTTAAATAAATAAATGGGAGATGGCACCGTAACCATGAAAACAACGTCCGTCTCGAGTTCAACATAACCCGAGGACTGTCTGTAGTATATTCTGCTGACCTCTTAATTTCATAAATTAACTGTCCTTTGATTCCATTTTTGTCTTAAAAATTGGTTTAAATTTACATAACTCTGTACATGTTCACAAATTACTACAAACACAGCATAATCTTCAAGACAATGTCTGTAAACACATGTCCTATTCAGAAAAAGAAAATTCATGTTTCCCGCCTGGCTTTCTTCTTCTTCATTTGTTTGGAGATTCCCAGCTAGTTCCAAACTTGGTTTGTGAACTTAGTATTTGACTTGGATTTATCTGACTCTTGTAGCATAGGTGCCACTTGGGAAGAGCTCTTGTCAGAATCACTTTTTGATAAAGTTAACAATGGATCGGTAGAAACAGCAGGTGGACAAGTCTTGATAGGATGGTTATTTTTGACGAGTGCTTCTACTGGATCTCTAGTGCTTATGGTTTTCTAAGAAAAAGCTTTTTCCTATTTTGGACGGACTTTAGATGTATTCACTGGAAGCTCTTCCCTAATCTCTTTTTCTAATTCTTCTGGGTCCTGTGCAGGAGAGTTATCGTCACCTTGCTGCTTCTTTTTCTTTTTAGATTTCCTGGTTGAAAGAACATCCTCTTCCTTTTCTTTATCATCATCTGAAACTTTTTGATCATCAGTAATCGTAGACTGAGAAACTGGCTCAGCAGTAGACACAGACACAAAAACAGCTAAGTGTGAGAGATGCAAGAGAAGCAGAATTGTGTTCAGAGGTATTCATTCCCCTATCCACACTAGACCAAGCAGCAATGTCAGAAAATATTGGTCACTCCAACTCCTTCCATAGTCTTTTCCATTCGCATTAGCAGCTCGTGCCTTGACCCCAAGCAGATGGCTGTTTTTCTCATCTGCAGAAGTAGAAGAAACAGAGTTCCACTTCTCTTCACCTGCCATTATCTGAGAGGTGAGTTTTATAGACTTTTCATTGCAGTCTCCTCCATTTACACTGAGGTTTTCATTCAATCCTGAAGAAACCTGAAGTTTAGGATCTTCTTTTCCAGACTTAAAGTTGCTAACTCAAACATTTAGATGAGATTCACCAACACGAAATGATGCAGTTGTAAATTGCTTGGTGGTAACTGTGATGGTATTTCCTATCCCAGGGAGAGCTGAATCCAATGAACCAGAACCAGTCTACACCTTATCAGGTTTACGTTGCTTTCATTTGTCTCTGTGACTAATTTTAGTTTCCCAGGCTCCTTCATCAGCTTCCTTCCCATCATGGCATACTGTTTTGCACTGCTTTAGCATCTGACTTTGATTCTAGTTGTTTTTCTTTGACTCTTCATTTTTCTTTTCCGTCTCTGATGGCTGCTTGGCGTTTACACTGCGAGCAACTTGCATATCAGCCACTTCAGCAGCACGCCCATTTGGCCTAACCCAAATGAAAAAGGTTTCCAGCTCGTCGTGGTCATCCGGTTGGTTGAGTGCCACCCTATGCAGCGCATAGTGGCTTCGATATCCAGGATATCCAGTCGGAGCACACACGTGGCCTGGAGGCTTGATTCCTGGCACGGGCACGTAGGAAAGGTATTTGGTTAACGCCTGCATCGCGATGGATACTACTCTCTCAAAAAGTCACTGCCCGTCTCGTACTGTATCTTGCGCATCCACATCTGTGACTTCCCTCTGGAGTGGCATAAG